ACATTTCCAGATTTTAAAACTTATTACAAAGCAACAGTAATCAAAACAGTGTGGTTACTGGCATAAGGGTAGACATGTATACAGAGGGAAATGATTCTGAATCCAGAAACAGATCCATATATCTATGGCCAACTGACTTTTGACAAAAGTGACAAATTTATTCAATGGGGAAAGAAGTCTTATCAACAAGTGGTGTTGATTTCCACCAGTAACTGGATGTCTACATGCAGAAGAATGAAGCTGGATCCCTACTTCATACCATATAAGGAAATTAACTCAAAACAGATCAATGACCTAAAAATAAGCTATAAAACCATAAGAGTCTTAGAAAAAATATAGGAGTAAATGTTCAATCCATTTCCATATAGCAATGGATTCTTAGATGTTGCTGTTGTTGTTATGTGCCATCGAGTTGGCCCCGACTCATAGCAACCCTTCCTTGGGTTTCCGAGGCAGTATCACTATGGAAGTAGGATTGCCCAACCTTCCTTCCGAGGATTCTTAGATATAACACCCAAAAGCATAAACAACAAAAGACAAAATAGATAAACTGTCAAAATGGACAACTTTCACTCATCAAAGGACATTATCAAGAGAGTAAAGAGCTATTCCACAGAATGGACAATATTTAGAAGTCATATATCTGATAAGGGTTTAACATTCAGAATATACAAAGAATTCCTATCACTCAACAACAAAAAGATAAAACAACCTAAAAATAGGCAAAAGACTTAAATAGACATTTCTCAAAAAAGTGATATACAAATGGCCAATAAACACATGAAAAGATGCATAAGGTCATTAGTCTTTTTTGTTGTTATGTGCCGTCGAGTCAAACCCGACTCATAGCGACCCCTCCTTGGGTTTCCAAGGCAGTATCACTACGGAAGTAGGATTGCCCAACCTTCCTTCCGAGGAGTGGCTGGTGGGTTTGAACCGCCAGCCGTCTGGTTAGCAGGCAAGTGTCTTAGCCACTATGCTACCAGAGCTCCCCATTAGTCTTTAGGGGGATGAAAATCAAAATCACAAAGGAATACCACTTTACACCCACTTTGATCCCTCCTTGGGTTTCCAAGGCAGTATCACTATGGAAGTAGATTGCCCTATCTTCCTTCCAAGGAGTGGCTGCTGGGTTTGAACCACCAGCCTTCTGGTTAGCAGTCAAGTGCCTTAGGCACTACGCTATCAGAGCTCCTTACACCCACTGGGATGGCTAAAATAAAAAAGACACATATAACCTATGTTGGCAAGGATGTAGAAAACTTGGAACTTCATCCATTGCTGGTGGGACTGTAAAATGGGGCAGCCACTGTGGAAAAGTTTGGTGGTTCTTCAAAAAGTTCAACACAGAGTTACATCAACTCCATTCCTAGATTTATACCCAAAAGATTTGAAAGCAGGGACTCAAATAGATACTTGTACACCATTGTTTACTGCAGCATTATTCACAATACCAAAAGGTGGGAACTATCAAGTGTCCATCAATAGAAGAATGGATAAACAAAATGTGATATAAAAATACAATGGAATATTCGGTCATGAACAGAAATAAGATTCTGATACATGCTATAACACAGATGAATACTGAAAACATTATGCAAAGTGAAAGAAGCCAGATGCAAAAGGAGAAATACTATAGATCACATTTTATGAAATATCTATAATAGGCAAATGCAAAGACAGTAGAGGTTGTGAGGGGCAGGGGAAAGAGGGACTGAGGAGTTATTGCTTAATGAATATGGAGTTCCTTTTTTGGATGTTAAAAAAAGTTTTGGAAATAAATAGTAGTGACAGTTGTATAACATTGTGAATATAATTCCATTGTGAATATAATTATTAATGGTAGCATTTATTAAAGAAATGATAAATGATAGTATTAAATTTTGACTCACAGAATAAAAATAAGTATCTGTGAATACACTATGTTTTACAAACTGGGTGGAAAAGGATACTTTCTTTCTTATAGTAGAATTCTAATTAATAAATGTAGATGGAAAGAGAGAAACACAAAAATCACAATAGGTAAATTTCATCTAACAACTGTTATAGATAAGATTCACCAATGGATGCTAGAATTAGTGGAGGCAGAGCAGGAGGAGGGATGTAAGGCAAAATAGGATTTGCATAATGCAAATCCCAAGACATTTATTGATCCCAAAGGGGAAAAACTGGCAGACCCCATCTTAGGCAAGTGAGATATCAACATCCTAAAGGCCAGGATTCACTGAGAAGAACATAACATCATTTCTATGGTATTCCTACCAAGATGCATATCCATATTCCAGTCTTGAAAAAACATCATGAAGGGAGTGAGTCACTGGTCCTGAAGGCTCAGGACCATGGTTAAAGGGGATACCGTGCTCAATCAGCACAACACCATACACAAAAACACTCTTCTACACCCTGCTTCTGTGAGTAGCAGCTGGGGCCATAAAAGCTTGCAATGAGCCATCTAAGATGCAATTATTGGTCTCTCCTAGTCTAGAGCAAAGAAGAGTGAGGATAATCAAAGACACACAGAAACAATTAGTCCCAGATGCTAATGAATCATGGGATCCTGAGCCTACATGATCCTGACACCAGAAAAATTAGATATTGCCTGGCTACTGATGCCAACTACTCAAAAAGGGATCAAACTTGGGGGATCTTGGATACAGTGGGAAAAATGTGGAACAAAGTTCAAAAGTATAATAAAGACCAGGATTACTGGCTGGATAGAGACCGATGAAACCTTGGAGAGTATGGCTGCTAGTGACCCTTCCAGCCCCAAATCAGACTCACTTCCATGGCTTAACTCTCAGCCAAACAGACAGGCATATGAGCTGAACGATTACACCAGGGAGATGCACTCCACCATGGGAGATCAGAAGGGCAGCAATTGCACAGGGAGAAAACTAGGGAGGCCTGAATGCATAGGCAAGAATACAGGGAAAGGATAACCACAGGGAGGAAGCAGGAAGAGAGCTGTTAATATTGTGTGGATTGTAATCAATGTCAGGAAACAAAATGTGTATGAACTGTTGAATGTAAATGAATCTAAATTGTAAACTTTCACCCAAATAACAATAAAAAGTTTAAAAAAAGAAAAAACATAAGAGACACTCTACAAAACAGCTGGTCGGTCAATAGTCACAAAAGTATCAACGTCATAAAAGAAAAGGAAAACGAACAGATTGGAGGAGACTAAGAAAAATAAACATAATGTGAACTGCTGCACAGGATCAAGGGACAGAAAAAGGCCAGTAGAAAAACTGGTAGAAATGAAATAAGTAGTTTAATAGTTTTATACCAATGTTAACATCCTGGTTTTGGTGACTGTACTATGGTTACATAAGATGTTAACATATTCTCAGTAGTATTTCTGCAACCTTCTTATAAATCTTGGGAGCTCTGGTAGCATAGTGGCTAAGGCACTTGACTGCTAACCAGAAGGCTGGCAGTTCAAACCCACCAGCCACTACTCGGAAGGAAGATGGGGCAATCTACTTCCATAGTGATACTGCCTCGGAAACCCAAGGGGGGGTCGCTATGAGTCGGGTCCGACTTGACGGCACATAACAACAACAACAGCAACTTATAAATCTAAAGTTAGTTCAGAATAAAATATTTACAAAGAAACTACATTTAAAAAGTGAAATAAAGTATGTGTACCCTTCAACTTTGAAGACAGAAATAGTTTGGTAGCTACAAATGTAACTCTGCTTTATGACAGTACCTTCCCACTCTGTACACTGCCCAAATCGCTCCACCCTCACTGGCAGGAGATGAGTGGGATTCTATAGGTAACCTACTAGGAAAGAGGAACATGTAACAACTTTCTGAAGACCTGACTCTGACATTAGGGAAGAAAAGTCACATTCTATTCACAGATGTTATAAAGATAGTTCTTAAGTGAAGAAAGAAGGTCAAAGACAGGGAAAGAGAAATATGGTATTTATTTGCCAAGAAAATTCCTACAATGTTTTTGTGTGAATAGACGAAGGACAGCTCTGGTAGCACAGTGGCTAAGGCACTTGACTGCTAACCAGAAGGCTGGTGGTTCAAACCCACCAGCCACTCCTCGGAAGGAAGATGGGGCAATCTACTTCCATAGTGATACAGCTTTGGAAACCCAAGGAAGGGTTGCTATGAGTCGGGTCCGACTCGATGGCACATAACAACAACAACAACAGACTCATTTGTGAAAAGTTGAGATCTAAACCTTTATCAATACCTTCAGAATTAATTTCTTTTTTTTTTTTTTTTTTAATGAAAACATAAAGCAGTAAAAGTCAACGTTCATTTTGCTTTTTATGTTAACAAGTGTATTTTTCAACCTTAGTTCCATTCAGGAGCTCTGGTGATGTAGTGGATAAAGCACTTGACGGCTAACCCGAAGGTCTACAGTTCAAACCCACCAGATGCTCTGCGGAAGGAAGATAGGACAATCAACTTTCGTAAAGATTTGCAGCCTCAGAAACCCAATGGGGGTCGCTATGAGTTGGAGACGACTCAGTGGGAGTGAGTTTGGTTTTTTTTTTTAGTTCCATTGAGTCTCACAAGACAGTCATCCTCATGATTTTACACTCACATTTTATAAGATCTTTACAGAAAGAAGGACTTTTACTTCAGCTTTAACATTATGACTGAACATAAAAAATATAATGTACACTCTATATTCTCATGAATAATCAAACTGAAGAGGCATAATGAATCCAGAGCCCTCACAGGAGGAGGATACCTGAGAAAACGGAAAGAACATGAGCGTTGGAGAAAGAAAGCCCCAAGATTAAACTTCAGCACTGTGACTTATGGCTATTGGATCCTAAGCAAGTTTTTCAACCTCCATGAACTTTAATTACCTTGCCTGCAAGATGGAAAAAAATATCCCTTCACACACAGTATTGTAAAAATTAGATAATTGTACATACTATGCTTGACACAGAGGAAATCATAGGTATTATCAGTTCTTTCCACCCTTCTCTATTTCACTGTTAAAGAGGTGTTCTCTGAAAACATACCGATTGAAGTTAATATCTGGGTAACTAGAATACTCCGATTTCATCTTAGCATTTCGTCGTGGAAATGTGCAGAAAAAAGCATTAGCTAAAAGACTGGAAATCTGTTCCTGTGACATTGTGATGGAATGATTCATCTTCTGTTTCAAGAGTGGTATTGGCTGATAGAGGAAATAAAAAAACACAGACAAGAAGAGAAATAATTAGTTTAACAATTTCAAAAGCAGAAGCACCAAATTGCATTTGCTAAATTAGGGCTGGAATCATTTCAGGCCACTCTTGAATTCTTAAACCAGAAATAGCATTAAAGTCAAGGGTTATTTATCAAGGATGATTGGAAAAATATTCTTGTTTGACAAACTGCAGACTGCTAATCAATAATGATTGTAAAGAAAGCACAAAACCTTACTTACTAGTGAAAACCATTATTTACTTTCTTTAGTAAGTAACAAGTAAAAATATATTACCCATGTATGTAATGAAAAACTGAAATATAAAATGAAATAAAAATATGCAATATTGAGTTTAGCTACTGCTGCTTATGAAAATTTTGCTTTCATATTGGAGATTGTCAGATGAGTAGTGCTTCCATTATATTCCTAAACAAAGTGATCTAGGGAAAATATTCAATAAATAAGTCTTTCCCTGTTATTCATGACAATAAATAAGGAAGATGGAGGAAGAGTTGATGTTTTTGACTTGTGGTGTTGGCGAAGAACACAGAAAGTACCACGGACTGGCAGAAGAACGAACAAATCTATTCTGGAAGAAGTGTAGATGGAATGCTCCTTGGAAGCGAGAATGGCCAGACTTTGTCTTACCTACTTTGGTGATGTTGTCAGAAGGAACCATTCCCTAGAGAAGATTATCATGCTTGGTAAAGAAGAGGGTCAGGAAAAAAGGGGAAGGCCCTCAATGAGATGGACTGACGCCGGGGCTGCAACAATGGGTCCAAGTATAACAAGGAGTGTGAGGCTGGCTCAGGATATGGCAGTGTTTCATTCTGTTGCACAAAGAGTCTCTAAGAGTCAGAGCCGACTCAATGGCACCTAACAACAACGACAACAACAACGACAACAACAACAACAACTCTCATTCTAAATCATATTTCAGATTGACAAATTTCTTTAGGAGATCCAAATATAATTTTATTAAAGCAACTAATGAACATGGGAAAATCATCACACAGAATTGTGTACAAAATCTTTAATAAGATAGGCATTCACTACATTCTCAAACATTTCAAGTCAAGAAAGATATAGGACATTTTACTCAAAACTTTTTATATGTAAAATGTCTTTTACTTGTGCCATGAAGCTCTGGTGGCACTTTGGTTAAGGCACTACTCTGCTAAGCAAAACGTAGGTGATTTGAACGCATCAGTTCCTCCACAGAAGAAGATGAGGCAATCTACTTCTGTAAAGATTTATAGCTGTGGAAACCCAATGGGGGTCGCTATGAGTTGGAACTGACCCAATGGTAGAGGGTTCAGTTGTACCAAACCCAAATTCACTTACCCTTCAGTTTCAGTATAATCCATAGGACCTGATTACTCAGTGGGTTTTACTCTATTTTAAATGTTTAAACCTTTAGTTTTAAAGACTTGATGGGAAAATCAAAGACCAACTGCTCATTTACATATCAATTCAAAATGCTCCAACATAATATACGCAGATGCTTTTTATTCTCCCTTTCAATAATACCAAGAAGGAAAGATAGTGAGTATCTGCACTAATGTTAAACAGCTCTGTCCTGACCACCTGTCAAGAATGAACACCCAGACTTGGAGGAGGTTCCGGCAAGATGGAGGACTAGGCAGAAGGACTGCACAGACCCTCTTCAACAAAGAAAAGGGAAACCAATTGACACAGACACAGAAGATAATCTTGGACCCCTGCCCTTGAA